CATCTTCTGTTGAGGCTTTCTGCATCATTCAATATTTTACTCATCGAATCCTTGAATATTACAAGTCAAGGATTGAATTTTTTCTTCAGTTTTTTCAGCTTGAGAAATGCTGAATGCGTTCTTCCCTTATTGTTTTCTAATTCAGGTTTTTGCATGTTTCATTGTAATACCTGACTTTGTCTTCTTGAACTACCCTTTGAAATTTTCTGTTTATTTCTTTTACTTCCTCATTTCTTCAATTTGCCTTAGCTTTTCTATGCTCAAGAGCGGAAGTTTCAGAGTCTTTTCTGACATCCATTTCTGTCTTTTCTTTCTTTCCTGTCTTTTTAATTAACCTTTTGCTTTCATCCTGTATAATGTTTTAGATGACATCCCAACAACTCTTCTGGTCATTAGTTTCTAATGAATCTGAGATGGTTTCTAAATTACATCGGGATATATTCAAGGTCATATTTTGGAACTTGTGGACTTGTTTTAATATTCTTCAATTTCAGCCAGAACTTGCATACAAGCATTTGGTGATTTGTTCCAGTCTGCCCTAGGCCTTGATTTTACTGATGACATGGAGCTTTTCCACCATCTCTTCCCAAAGACGTAGTCAATTTCATTCCTGTGTATTCCATCTGGTGAGGTCCACATTTATAATTTGTTTTTACATTGTTGAAAATGGGTATTTGCAATGAAGTAACTGGTCTTGCAAAATTCTATCATGAGAATTCCAGAATTGTGTCTATAATGAAGGCCGTATTTTCCAAGTACCTCTTTGTTCCCAACTTTCACATTCCAATCACCATTAATTATCAATGCATACTGATTGCATGTTTGATCAGTTTCAATCTGAAGAAGTTGGGAGAGTTTTATTTCTTCATCATTGGCTTTAGTAGTTGGTGTGTAAATTTGAACAATCATATTAACTTCTCTTCCTTGTAGTAGTATGAATATTATCCTAACACAGACAGCACTGTACTTTGAGATAGTTCTTGAAACGTTCTTTTTGACAATGAATGTGATGCTATTCCTCTTGAATTTGTCAATCCCAGCATAGTAAACCATATGACTGTCAGATTACAAATGGCCAATACCAGTCTATTTCAGGTCACTAATGTCTAGGATACAGATCTTTATGCATCTCAATCCATTTTTTAAACTTCCAATTTTCCTGGATTCATACTCATACATTCCATGTTCCCATTATTAATGGATGTCTACAGCTGTTTCTCCTTATTTTGAGTTGTGTCCCATCAGCAAATGAAGGTCCCTATAGCATTACTCCATTTGTGTCATCATGGTCAACTCTACTTGAGGAGGCAGCTTTTCCCCAGTAGTATCTTGAGCATCATCTACCTGAGGGGCTCCTCTTCTGGCATTATATTTGATAATGTTCTGTTGCTATTCATCTTTTCATCTTCTGGTACTATATTTGACAATGCTCTGCAGCTATTCATAAGGTTTTCAGCTTTAAGACATTCAGAAATAGTCTGCTGCTCCTTCTTCCTAGTCTGTTTTAGTCTAGAAGTTCCACTAAAACCTATCCACCACGGGTGATCTTGTTGGCATTTAAAATACCAGGAGGGGAGCAGCTAGAGGAATAGAAGATACTTCTTGAATGAAAAGACCAGCAGGAAAAATCCAAAACAAAAATGGCAGCTACTACAAGAACAAGCAAGTTGTTTGCTGGGGAGCCATCAAAGCAAGCAATCAAGTCCCTTCAGAACAAACCCCGCTCCAAGACTGAAACTCAAAGGGAACACATAAACAGGCAAGTAACCTTGCTGGTGACCACGTTGATCTACTGGTGAGTATAAGAAGGGGAAAGGCAGTAATGAAGATATGGGCTGATTTTGACCATGTTCCATAGACTCCATTGACCTGAAGATGAGAGGGTGAAGAGAAAGGGCTGGTTGGTCCGAAGTGTGGTGAGACCTGGCGATTCCTGAGTCCATGGACAAGGACATAGCCAAGGAGGGCTAGAGCTGAGAGTGAAGCGTCCAGCTGATATGAAGTGAGAGGATACACACAAGAATCCCCAAACTTGTAGATAGTACCCATTTGACCTAGCTTCGATGACTTGATGATCAGAACTCGACTAGAGGAAGATAAAAAAAAATTTTTTGATAAAGGAAACAAGTATCAATTGCTACAATTTGATGAACTTGACCTATACTTATGGATGTAGTAGCTCAAAATACCAAATGAGAGGGAAAGAGCCTTCAATCAAGTATCAATCCTATCCCTTCTGTATATAGAGTTGATAGGGACAGGACAGGTAACTTAGACATTGGCTACCTAAAATGGGAATACTATAAAGGCACGAAGTGACTGGCTTACAAGTTTTCAAGAGGGAGTTCAGTTTCAGAGTATGTAGGGGAAGATAGAATCCCCACTTAATAGTTTTCATCTTGTCTAGACAGGTCTGGTGAAAAGAGATGGGGATAAGATTCTTATGATTCAGTAGTGAGCAATTATTACTATGACTAATTGCGACTGTCACAACTATAAAGATAGAAATTTTGTAACAAAAAGGGAGAAATAGTTAATCTTACATTCCAGGAACAGAGGCCCCTAGGACCATCAAGGGAGAAGAGCACCAGCGGAATGTGAGATCCTATCCAGAGAAGCAGTGACGCTAGAGATGGAGGCAGAGATGAGGACATGGAAAGACAGCAGCTGAGGACACTAGACTCATCATGGAAAGAGAAAGGCTGTGTGTTGTAGGGCAGGAGGCAGGCTTGCAGAATGTGCCCTTTGGAAGTTTAAATTATAATATATTCTTGAGTGTTTTTGTGTACATCTCCCCCCTCCCCCCAAAAAACCCCAGAGGGAATAGAAGCAAATACAGTTGAATGATGATGCATGGAGGAGATTGTAATCATTACAATGAAATGATGAATGTAAAACTGATATTCTCCCATGTAAACTATCACTCAATTCACAATAAAAACTTTAAAACAACAAAAAAACCAGGAGGATAGCTTTCAGCATCACATCAATACACAATCCATCACAGAATGACAAACTGACAGATGAGTGTTGGCCCTGATTTACACCACCTAGAAACAGCAGTTTTGGCATCCTTGAGGGACACAAAACATGTTTTTTTAGTTTAATTCTGCTGGAAAAAAAATATAGACAAAATGGAATATTTAAATATATATTAAAATTTTGAACCTAACACTGAAATGGATTATTTTAAAATCTTATAAAAATATTCATTCATCTAATATATGTAAGCATGTAATATACTTTAGATTTGTGGCATTTGCTAATTAATAAATTCACTTAGTATAAAAGCTATTTCTATATTATTTATTCTTGATTTGCATTTTTATTATATTTATACTATGTTTTAACATGATAATACCTGAAAAACTATTATTTAAGTGTACAAGAGCATAAGATAAATAATGTAGGCTCCATGAAGACAGGGACCATATTGTTCCTATTTACCAATCTATCTCTAATAATACCTAGCACAGTACTGAAAAGGGGTCATCATTTAAGTACTTTTCTGTTCAGTTAAATGCTAACTTTCATTCTTGGCCAGTTTACTCCAAGGGACTCACCAAATGGAGAGCAAAAATAAGTTAGAAGGGACTGAGTCAGAGCTGTAGGATGGATATGGTAAGATTTCCCAACAAATTCTCAAAGGACAGCCCTTGAATAATGAGCAGATGCATTGTTGTGATGGTAGAACAATTCCTCAGTACAACTTTCCTGGCCTTTTTCTCATCAATGCAGTTTTCAATTTTCTTAAAATTTCTTCCTAATAATCCCTTGCGATCATTCTGTGTTCTTTGAAAAAATCTACCATGATTATCCCTCTGTAATCCCCCAAGAAAGTCGACATAACATTCTGAGTTGAACTGCTTCCCTTGTATTCAACAGGCCTAGCAGATCCTCTTGGAAGTCACTATGTAGAACCATTTTTTTTGAAGGCAACATAGGGAGACTAAAACAGGTATATATTGCTAAGAGAACTTGTGTGCAGTCATTCACTGATCATAATAGACACATGATTTTGTTTGGAATAGACCTGTGCATGTATGAACTAGAAGCCTAATAGCAATACTTTTTGACTTGCTTTTATCTATTCAAGTAGGTAAACTGTGTTCAGTTATACTGTAACATTTATACATCTTTTCTGATGTTACACTTATTTATCCTTGCAGGTTACAGAAGCATCAATTTTCAGGTATGAGAAAGTAAAAATTAGCCTGGGCAAGGAAAGTAACAATTCGCTCTGCAATTAAAAAAAATATAATAACACACATATGAAAGGACTTCAAAAAGTATGTGGAAAAATTCCATTATCCTTTCATTCTATTTTTCCATGAATTTTTTTCAAGTCCCTCATATATAGCCAGTGGCAAATGCAAAATATCACAAGGATCTCCATCTTTGATGAGTAACTACTGCTTTCATATTCACTGACATTCTTCTCTAAAATCTTAAAATTGAAATTATACCAGTAAGAATGAAATATTCCATTTTTGCCTGGAGGAGCTAAGTCACTTAGAAAAGTAGCAGCAATATAAAATATAACTGAGGAACAGAGTTTCAGTAGGCTAAAGTCAACATTTATCTTGACTTTGTAGCTTCCAAGGAAAAGGAACCCTGGGTCCAATCTACAGTTCCAATCTGATGTTGAACGCCTTATACTCAGCCTTACTTTGCATTTAGGCTTCACCTGAACTCCACCCTTCCTCAAATTCCTACAACTATCTTTCCTTTGGTAAGATGCCTTCACTCTGCCCGACTGTTCCTCTGATATGTAGTCTCCCTTATAGCAATGAGCCAAAAAACTTAATGTTATCAGACTATGGGTTTGTCCTTGGTGGTCTTTACTTTATCACACTTAGATGACACAATAATATGATTTTCAAAGATAATATGACCTGCATTAATAAGACAGGAACCCCAAGCAAACATTGTAGAGAGAATTTTTAAATGTGAAAATAAAGACAAATTACAATACAACACAAGGGTTACAAAAAGGATACTAAACAGAAGAACAATGTGTGTTTCAGCTACAAACTGGGCTTGGCTGCTTCCATGGATATAATTCTGGTAGAAAAAAATACAAAAAAATGTAATATTGAAATATATATTAAAATTCTGAACCTAATACTAAAATGGGCTATTTTAAAATCTTATAAAAATATTAATTCATTTGATACATATAAGCATGTAATATACTTTAGATTTGTGACATTTACCAGTAAAGAAGTTCATTTAGTATAAAAGCTATTTCTGTATTATTTATTCTTTATTTGTATTTTCACTATGTTTAACAAGATAATAGCTGAAACTCTAGTATTTAAGTGTACAAGAACATAAGATACAATAATGTAAGCACCATGAAGACAGGGACCATGTTGTTCCTGTTTACCATTATATTTCTGATAATACCTAGCATAGTACTGAAGCTGGGTCATCACTCAAGTACCTGATAAACTATTCTATTCAGTTAAATGCTTATTTTCATTCTTGGCCAGTTTAGTCCAAAGCACTCACCAAATGTAATAAGAAATTTCCCATTTTTACGTACACATCATGTTGTTTTCAGCAATTGAAGTTTGTTAACCAAGAGATAAAAAACACATCTAGTACCTTCATATGCTGGCACTCAATGGGTAATATCATTAAGGCTAGCTTTAGAATACAATAGAAAAAACCACTGGCCTTTCCTTACCACATGTCCTGTGTGGGGATTTTTATGAGCATATGGTGGTCCTCTTATATGGTTCCACATTTGACCAGATGTCATAGCAAGCACAAAACACTAGGAAACAAAAAATAAAGAAATATTCATATAACATGGTCAGATGTTCCAACCTTGACCTAGCTTTGATGGCTTGATGATAAAAACTCAACTAGAAAAATTTGATAAAAGAAACAAGTGTAAATTGCTACAATTTGATGAATTTGATCTATACTTATGGATATAGTAGCTCAAAATACCAACTGAGAGGAAAGGAATCTTCACATCAAGGATCAAACACAGGGTTGACAGGGACGGGCAACTTAGACATTGGCTACGTAAAATGGGGAGGCTATAAAGGTGCGAAGTAGCTGGCTTACAAGTTTTCGAGAGGGAGTTTAGTTTCAGAGTGTGCAAGGGAAGGTAGAACCCCTACTGAATAGCTTAGAGGGTCTGGTGAAAGCAGATGGGGATTAAGATGCTTATGATTCAAAAGTGAGTAACTGTTATCATTGCAATGAAATGAAATACAATAGGATGAGTGTAAAACTGATGTTCTCCATGCAAATTATCACTCAATTCACAATAAAACCTTTTAAAAAAAAGAAAAAAAAAACTATATTGCAACTTTCAACACAGCATACTGGAACGTTTCTAATAGTTGTAGCAAGATGAAGGCTTTCAAACAGAGCAGAAACTATTTCAAATCATTGGCATAAATTTTTTTCTTTCTGGTAGTTTATTTTTGTTTGCTTGTTTCTTTCATTTGTTTTGACTTTAAATCAAAATTTTATTGTAGTAGATAGATAAATAGATATACACAAAAATATGCCAATTGAACATATTTTTACATATGAAATTCAGAGATATTAAATATGTTCATCATGCTGGGCAACAATCAAAAAAAAAAGTAGATCTGTATAATCATGTATGCTGAAGAAAATTATTTTTAGATAGGTGATGCCTTTTTTCAAGGTCTGTATTTTACCACAAGGATCAAAAGAATCACATTTCAGTAATATTTACTTTAGAAAGAAAACATTAATTAAAAAATTATAACTGATATAAATTTCAATACTGAATACTGAAAAGGTACTTTAGAAGAATATTTTCAAATGAACTGCAAGTTTTCATTGAATGACAGTCTATCAGTTAGACTGAATAAAACTGGATATAATCAGGTTCTCTCAGCTCTGGACACTGTAATGAGATAATAAAATATACACTGTTCATAAGATGGTGGTGGTTGTGGTGTGCCATGGAGAAGATAGAAAATAGAAATATGTAAGTCCCTTTCCTTCAGGTAAGAAATAAACAAAATGTTACTTCAAACCTGAAATGACAGCACACCTGAAAATACAATATTAAGGGTTTAACTTAATTTCTCTTTTCAAATTCACTCACCAAAGCCGCAAAAGCCCATCCAGTTTTGTTAAAGAGAAATTCCATATTGCTTCTTCGAAGATACACAAGTCCACCGATAACAGCCAAAAGCAATCCCAACATAAGGGGACCAGCATAATTTGGGGGTCTAATTACTCTAATCTAAGAGGAAAGGAGATAAAAACATTCTAAAATATAAAATTTATTCATTAATTATATGGCTCAAAATAATTTAAAATAAAAGTAGTCAAAGCTGATATGGTTACTTTGAGAAAAAATACTATTTCACTCCATCCCAATCAAAATAGCTTGTATATTATCCTAAAATTGAATGTAATAGGTACAATATTCTGTTCAACCACAGCATATAAATCATGCCATCTTTTAAATTAAGAAGGTTTTGCCAAGAACAGCAAGATAACTGATGGACTTTAAAAAGGTCAAAAGAGTGGTTTCCATGCAGAATCCAATATGGTAATACAAAATGTTTCACTCTATTATCCGGATGATTCTATTAAATACCATTCATGAAGGGATAGCCAAACTATTAATCATCACCCTCAGTGATATGAGGACAAGTTCAAGTAGGACCTCCAAGTAAGAATTAAAGGGAATAATTGCAAAATAATGTTCTTCAAAGCAAGGAAACTTACATTGACATCAGTTCTGTCAGCAATCCACCTGGCAATCTGCTCAGCTGAAAAACCCCGCACCTGCAACTCATATGTATCACCACGTTTGGGTTTTCCTTTTGCAGGAAAGTTGATGAAGGTTGGAGCTGAATTCATGTTTAGCTGAATAAAAAGTAGTCAATAAAAATATAAATTTAACAAGAGAATAATCTTAACTTCAAATAGTATCTGAAATTCAGACATGAGATATTCCGCTTTAGGAAGATTAAATAATTTGACTTAGGAATCATAGTCAGCAAATAACAAAGTAAGATTCTAACTCAAGGTTTCCCATGACCTTTACTGACCAAATATTAATTCCAAGGAAAGAAACGTACATATTTCTTCACTGTTGTTGTTAGGTGCCATCAAGTTGGTACCGACTTACAGTGACCCTATGCACAACAGAACGAAACACTGCCCGGTCCTGTGTCAAGCTCACAATTGTTGCCACACTTAAGCCCATCGATGCTGCCACTTTACCAATTCATCTCGCTGGGGGTCTACCTCATTTTCTCTGACCCTCCACCTAACAAACATATTTTTCTCCAGCGACTGGTCCCTCCTGACAATATGTACAAACTATGAGACGAATTCTGGCCATCCTGGCCTCCAAGGAGCACTCTGGCTGCACTTCTTCCAATACAGATCTCTTTGTTCTTTTGGTAGCCCATGGCACTTTCAATATTCTCCTCCAACACCATAACTCAAATGCTTCAATTCTTATTTACTGTCCAGCTTTTGCATGCATATGAGGTTACTGAAAATACCATGGCTTGGATCAGGCATACCTTAGTCCTCAAGCTGACATCTTTGCTCTTAAATACTTTAAAAAGGTCTTGTGCAGATTTGCCTAATGCAATATGCCGTTTGATTTCTTAACTGCTGCTCCCATGAGTGTTGATGGTTGATCCAAGAAGAATGAAGTCCTTAACAACTTCAATCTTTCTCCATAGATAAGAATGTTGTTTATTGGTTCAGTGGTGAGGATTTTTGTTTTCTTTACATTGAGATGTAATCCATACCGAATGCTGTGCTCTTTGATCTTCATCAGTAAGTATTTTAAATCCTCTTCACGTTCAGAAAGCAAGGGTGTACCATCTACATATTGCAGGTTGTTAATAAGTCTTCATCCACGCCTGATGCCACGTTTTTCTTCATATAACCCAGCTGCTCGGATTATTTACTCAGCATACAGGAGTAGTAAGTATGGTGAAAGACTACAACCTTGTCGCACACCTTTCTTAATTTTAAACCATTCAGTGTTCCCAAGTACTGTTCAAACAACTGCCTCTTGGTCCATGCACAGATTCCTCATGAAAACAATTAAGTGTCCGGAATACTCATACTTCACAATGTTGTCTGTAGCTTGTCATGATCCACACAGTTGGGAGGCAGGGCTTGATGGAGGCTAGGGTGGAGGTGCAGTGAAGGTCGCTGTTAGCAATAACACAGAATACCAGGCAAAGCAGATGCAGGGCAGAGCTCCAAAACTCGGAACCACAGAGATAGGAATATTTTAAAGGTTTGAAGGCTTATAGCTGTGGAGTTTGGAGCTGAAGTAAAAAATCGCATACTTTTGAATCTGCCGGGCTGGGCTCTTAGCCCCGAGCCAACATCCTGGGCGAGACCAAGCGGCAAGACGAAACTGAGGAAGCAGAAACACCACAGAAAAACTCCGCGGGAACCTTGGGACAAAGGTGGACAATATATACTTTGTTAGTTTAGTTTTGTTTTGATTTTTCTTTTTTTCTTTGGTATGTGTTAATTGGCACGCTCAGTTTGCCAACCTCCATTCTGGCCTGAGCCAAGTGGCCACCCCCCACCCTCACCACTGGTGGGTTCTTCTGCCACGCATGCGCACAGATACTCAGCCCAAGTGGAGGCCCTGAACTTTTAATATCTGTTTCCTTTTTGTTCTGTTTTTTATCATGGGAAAGAGTAGAAGAGAGCTGAAGGGAGGAAAAGAGAGTCAAAGGTTAGATTGGAGCCTGAGGTATAGCATAACAACCAACACTGGCAACTTGGAACCTCTGGGGCAGCTTTGAAGACAGGAACTTAGGACATTAAAGCCATACTCATATTAAGCTACAGTTTTTTTTTTTCCTCCTTTTTCTTCTCTCCCTCCTCTCCCTTTCCTGTGATTAGACACTGCAGTATTCAGTCTTGTTTTGGTTGGTGTTGCTTTTTCTTTTCTTTTCTTTCTCTCACTCCCCCGCCACACTGGTGTTGTTTTGCCTCCCACCTTGTGCCTTTGGAGTACTCTTTGTCTCCTTATATTACACAAGAAGAGTCAGCAACTGCTGCCATATAGCCAAGCTACAATCACACTCTATAAAACACCAAAACCCAGGCAAGAACCAATACTAGCTGTCATATACCAGGGAAACAGACAACTCCTGTGAAAGTTACTCTGAGTTAAGCAATAAGAAGAGTGAAAAGGGAAGCCCACATCCTGATCACATCTTCCTGGAAGCAATCAGAAAGCATAAAAAATTACCAAAACACATACCCAATTAAGTATTAAGACCACAGATAAACATTAAACATGTCCAAGAAGCAAAAGCAGATGACCATATCAGGACATGTCCAGAAAAAAGATAAAATGAGACAAATGACCTAGAAGTAGACCTGGACTCCATTCTGGAAGGAGGGCAGGTCTTGGAAATGCCTGAGAAAGAATTCAGAAAAATGATTATATAATGTTTCAAAACACTTTACAATGGAGTTGAGAAAAATAAGGAAGAAGTCAGGAAAGTGCTACAGGAACAAATAAGATAGATACAGCATTGGAAACAATTCAAACCCTACAGAAAGAGGTCCAAATGATCAATAACAAAATAACAAGATTAGAGAACACTCTGAAAGGGCAGAGGAGTAGAATAGATGAGATGGAAGGCAGAACCAGTGAGCTGGGAGACAAATCTCTGAATACCATTAAGATAGAAAAACAAACACAAAAAAGGATAAAAAATTTGGAGGAAGGTCTAAGAATCATGTTGGATAACATGAAGAGGAATAACTTAAGAATTATCGGCATTCCAGAACAAGAAGAATCACACAAGTCCACAGAGGAAATAGTTGAAGAACTGCTGGAAGAAAATTTCTCTAACATCATGATCCACACAATTGAAAGCCTTTGCGTAGTCAATAAACACAGGTAAACATCTTTCTGGTATTCTCTGCTTTCAGCCAAAATCCATTAGATATCAGCAATGATATCCTTCGTTCCACGTTCTCCACTAGGGATGAACAAGTCTCCACATATTTTCTATTCAGAGGTTATGTAAAAAGAATAAATTTATGAAAAGTAATTGATTCAAATGCTCCAGATAGGATACTTCCTCAATCTGTGGACTGGAATAAGATCAGGATAGTACAATGCTCTAAAATTATAGCAAAAACCAATGGACAAAATGGTAGCCATATACAGAAATCATCAGTTTAAAAGGGTTTATAAATGTTTACTGATGAGCATCACATTTCTCTATTCTCCATCATGAGCCCCATGGTATACTTGAGAAAACAACACTGGAATTACTGATGTAAAGAAACCATAATCCAATCTGTATTCTATCTTTCCTAGAAAATATGATTAAGTCCAGGGGAAAGATCCTGACCAACAGATTTACGGATCAGGTCGTCTAAGCAGGTTAATCTTACAGTGGAGATTGGCTTACATAAGGAATTATAACTTGAAAACATCAGCTAATAAAATAATCTAATTCTATTACTTTGATTCTACGCTCACAATAAAAGCCTTCTAAATAGTAATTTTTAGACTTTCCCATTAGGGAAGGGAATGTACTGATTAGTGAGTATGATTATTTTGGTTTCTTTGGAGTATATTATGGTGAATTAAGGATTTAATAGATAAACCTTTTGGTTAGTAGTGCCCATGGAGTTTAATACTTTGTCAGTGTGCACAGGGTCTCCAGAGCTGGATAAATTCTGGCTACACAGTTCAAATTCAAATTCTGCATCTGTAAAGCTAAGAACCATACTCTGGACAACACACATGTCACAAAATTCCTGCCCAAATTTTAAGCCAAACTCTTTAATATATGTTTAGCTATGCCATCTTTGGAATTTTTTCAATCTATGTCTAATAAACAAAATAAAAACTAAGTAACATATGAATATACCTTCTTTGTAAATTTTTTTTAAGTTACAGGGTTACGGGAACCAATTCCATTTCATTCTGGTAGCTACTATTACTATTTCAAAAACTTTCTGAACTGATTCATATACATGTTTACGTTCCAACAGAAAACATGTCATATTGCTTTGTGTGTGTGTTTTTGAACGTAAATGGTATATTAACTATATTTTTCTGAAATTTGCTTTTTCAAATTTAACCATGTTTGAGAGATCTATTCATGATAGTACATGCACATCAATCTCATTCTCATAGTTTATTAAGAAATTATACTACTGTTGGACTTTTAGGGATTCCTCTTTTCAATGAAAAATAACGTGTTACAATGAAAATCCTTGTATATATCTCCCAGTACACATGTGAGAATGCTATCTCCAGAGTAAATACCTAGATATGAAATTGTTAGGTCATAGCTCAGGACATTTGAAATTAAAATGGATATAGTCAAATTTCCCTTCAAAGTGGCTGTACCAATTTATGCTTCAACTCTATGTAGGAAAATATCCTGTTTCCCTACATCCCTGCCAACAGGTGATCTGATGAGCAAAAAAGTGTGTATCATCATTGTAATTTCAATTTCCATGATTATTTGTAAAATATATTTTTAATACATTATTTTTTTAGTAATTTTAAATTTTATTGTTCTTTTTAAAAAGAAAGAAATAAGAATATACATACAGGCACTTAACAACAACAACAAATACATACAGGAACCCACATACTTTATATAGGTATTGAAAAGGACTAGAAGAATACCAAATTACCAATAGTGATTATGTTTCCTTCTTTGTGTCTATATGTTCTACACTGAACAATTAGTATATTTATGATGGAAGCAAAATGCTAACAAAGCCACTGTTTTATAAAAAGAAAAAGGCATTTGTAACTTAAAAACAGAGTATTAAGTTTCTATTGTTTTTAGAGCAGAAGTGAGTAGTTAAGGGTAGCGGCTCTAGAGCAAGGG